ATATAACAGAACTTTCTGTACTCTATAAATGTTTTGAGTTGTTGCTATTAAATCATCACACCACATGAACTTCCATGGCGCCAGTGTAGAATAATCAACACATCAAAATGTTGATTTATATTGAATTCCAACAACTTTTTCCACCTATTTGATTTGATGAAGTCTAATTTCTTCATTCTGAATCACAATTTCTACCTATCTGAATTCATTAACTCCAATCTAAGGCAGAAATTTATAGTTCCAATTATTACATGCAACTTCCAATTATTCATGTGAAAATTCAACATTTTGTCCATCAGAACTCACATGTTCTGACATTTATGTTCTTATCTAAATTTCAAATTGGTTACATTGTCAGGGCATTATACTTTACTATGGACTTTTGTTTTTAAGAAACACTGGGAACAGTCAGAGAAAATGCTTAGAACATTAATTTACATCAGAGCTAACAATAGATTTATTAAGAAATAGAGGCTCCATGGAGCCTGTATTGCTCAACTAGTATATGTGCATCATATTGTAAGATTTTATTACGATCATGAAGCTTGGAATATATAAGCGTCTCAAAATTAAGGAAACACTTTCTGAAACTCATCTAAAAATAGCTTTTTTAACACAATAAAAATAGTTTTTTTAACAAGTAATTTGTTTGTCTGGTTTGCATTCTCTAAAAAGAAATGATGTAAATGTTTATCTCCCCTCATCCAAATTTAAATAAAAAAAAAACTTTGAAACCACATGCAGAAAAAACATCATTGAGAATTTCATCCACAAATGGCTTTTTGGGACACTTTCTCAAAATTATAATGGTGAAAAAAATGTGTCTTGAATTTAATATGTTGTTTACAACCATTTGATCCCCATAAATTCAAAAAATGCTTTTAGCACAAATCCAGTTTAGTCTGTAAAAACTTTTGCCTATACTTCTTCATACTGGTATGGCTATAATTAAAAGTATGGAATCCACCCTTAAGCACAGTGAGTGTACTGTAAAGAAACTTCACAAAAAGAGCGGACCAATACTCAAAATATTGCTCAAAACTATTTTCTTGTAATTAGATCTTATGAGTCATATAATGTTTCCTTATTTTTTCTCTCTTATTTGAAATTCAATACAAAATAATTTAAAGACTTCAAAATGCATTTAACGTTTTTCTATATTCAATAAATTCATAGATTTTACATCATACAAAATAATATAAATTTCTAATAATTATACTTAATAGCTTTTCAATTGGCATGCATAAATGATTTTCCATCTCAGATATAATGCTTTAATATCGTAATTCTAATCCATTAATGCTATTTATGCTATTTGAATTACAAAAAGTAACTAATTATTTGATTGTAATTCTAGCCATTCAAGAATCATTTGAATAGTTTTTCAGCTTCAGGATTTCTGGTTGCATAATTTTTAGACTCATCTTTTCTGGTTCATTATACCTAGAGCATAAATATGTGCTTTTATGTGTCTTCAAATAGTGAAGAGTCAATCAGGGTTTGAGCAGAAAAAACAGTAAATTGCAGATTAAATAGATTAAACTAGCAATAATTTAACCAACATTTTAGCAAAATGAACCAAAAGACCCCTTAAAACATTTTCAAGAGTAAGTATTTCGACAGTATTTCAGGCTGGATCTATAAAATTGTGGGCTTCATTTGCAGAAGTTTTAAGAATTTCCAAAATGCAAAATGCTTTAGTAGCTACTTATTGTGAAATTTTAATTCTTCCTTGTTTTGAAATAATATGAGAAAAAAGCTTTAGCAAAAACCAAGTGTCAAGTTTGTCAAGATCTTAAGTTTACAGGCATTTTCTCATTTCCAATATATACTGGCAATGTATATTCAATTTCTATAATATTTAATAGAGAACAGTTATTATACATGTCATGTAGTCATTTAAATAAAACATGGTATTGATTAAAGAACAGATTTCATTTGAAGATTTTATTGATAAATAATAAAATCTATCACAAAGCTTTTCATAAAACAACATAAATTGTGGTTTTATGTCAGGGCTTAATGTCTTAATATATGAGTTTTGTGCTGTTATGAGGAAGCTGATGATCAGATCTTTGTGTTGAGAGTAAACTGCAAGCTGAACTACTCTACTGGAACAATTCAGATGTGAACCCATCACAAGTACAATACTTATTTCCCCAAGGAGGGTAAAACCTTGTTTTAATAGGTAGACGAAGATATAAAAATGGCATGATCACTATCAATTGGATACAACAAATTGAAAGAAAATTGTTTTCACTAAACATTCAAATGACTTTTTTCAAGAAATGCCTTTCCTACTAAATTTTTATTTACTTCTTTAAGTGGATAGGTTCGATGTTTTAGAGAACATTTCTCGTTTAAAAATGCCATGATCATTTTAAGAAGACATTATTGGGAATTAATAAGATAGTACTTAAAATCACTAAATTAAATTCTATCCATAGAGTTTTGAAGAAATTGAACTTTTTTCTGACAATTTAGCTTTACTTGGCTTATAGTTATTTAAAAAAAATCATATTTTGTTTTTTTTGTTAAAATAAGTTCAATGAAAATTAATACAAAAATATTCCTGCAGATACTTCTATCTTGCATAAGTCTTAAGATCTACCGAAGATGACTAAGTCTGTGGTAGTCAGGTCTATAAAAGTAAATAATTCATTTTTAACCCTAACATGGCTTTGTGGCGGGGTTCATTGTCCACTGATATAACGAAGAAAAATAACAATTTCAAAAACCTGAGCGAATAATTGAATTGTCTGTCTAAAGAACCTTATTTCAAATTTCAGACCCGTGACAGTAAAATGTCAATGTCTACCACTAATCCAATTCTGTATTTTAATTTCACTACATCTACTTTTCTCACATGCTTTTAACTATAGCAAAGGAACTTGTTCTTTAAGTACTACATTTAATGACTTGTTAACTCTAAATTATTTCAAGCAACTTTGAAATCGACAGGTTTTAAATAAATCAGAAATATTTCCAAATTTCCTGAGGCTTCATTTCTTAGATACATTAAACAATTGACATTTATAAGAGGAAGCACTTGCCTGTCTGTAAAATGATTCCATTTTATCAAGTATAAAATTGTATGGATAGTTTTTCAGACAACTATGCTAAATATAGTCTTTCTGTTAAATGTTTATCAAATTAGTCAGAAACTGGCATAGCATGGCTGTCATAGCTTTAATATGGTAATCCTTATAATTCATGTAAATTGTTGTCTGTGTAAAGACATTACGACTTAAAGGTTACTGAACATAATTCTATTTTTCTTCTTCAGAAGACCTATTTTAATATGGTTTTGTCTGAATGTGTCTTATTTTACAGAAATTAACTATTTATGAGGGATACTGTGACTGGAAATTTTAAAATTTCTGTCAAATTTATGTACTTCTGGGAACTTATAGGCACTGACAGACATCACTAAGAAACCAAAAACTGAGTGATTTGAAGAGCTTGGTAGCTCGTACAGATAAAAGAAGAATGTGTCTGAGAACAAGAATGCTTTCACTTAATTAGCTTGTTTATAATACATGAAAATACTTTTTGAGAGCATTTAATGTCACTGCTAGTGCGGAACAAAAAATTTGCAATTTTCCTAGTAAAGTGATAAAGGGGCATAACTCTAAAACAGTAGATGACTCACTGTCCAAATTCGAAATCTGTTTGTGGGTTTTGGTTCTACGAGTTCCATAAAATTTGGATAAGGAAAACTTGTTAGAATTTCGGAAACGAAAATGGGACGGATGGAAGGACCGAAGGACAGTCAAGGGTAACACTCAATGCACCCTTCGCCAAGAGTCACTGGCCGGGGGCATAAAAAGATGTCCATTGTTTTCATTGATATAATTACAAAATGTAGTATTCTAGACATCCCCGAAATAATGCAACTGCACATGTATTCGCTATTTGATTCAATTGAAATATTGTTTTTCAACTATAACCTATCTATGATAGTAAATAATCAAAATTTTAACCTTAGTCTTAACTATCTCTTACACTGGATCACAATTCTAACCTTAGTCTTAACTAATCTCTTACACTGGATCACAATTCTTACCTAAGTCTTAACTAATCTCTTACACTGGATCACAATTCTAACCTAAGTCTTAACTAATCTCTTACACTGGATCACAATTCTAACCTAAATCTTAACTAATCTCTTTCACTGGATCACAATTCAAACTTATTGAGTCTTCACTTATCTATGACAGTGAATCACAATTCTAACCTGCAATTCTAACCTAAGTCTTCACTTATCTATGACACTGTGTCAATCATAATTCTAACCTAATTAAGTCTTCACTTATATATGACAGTAAATCACAATTCTAACTTAAGTCTTCACTTATATATGACAGTAAATCACAATTCTAACTTAAGTCTTCACTTATCTATGACAATGAATCACAATATACCTACGTCTTACTTATATATGACAGTGAATCACAATTCTAACTTAAGTCTTAAATTATCTTTCACAGTGGATCACAATTCTAACCTAAGTCTTAATAACTTATCTTTGACAATGGATCAATATTCTTACTTAACTTATCACAGTTATGACTTAAGTCTAAGGATAATTAAGGCAGTGAAAACATCACAATTCTAACTTAGTCTTAAAGTACCAAAGGCATAGAAACAAATTCTAGACAAAGTATTAACATACTTATGAAAATTTCAATTCTAATCTATTCTTAACATACTTATGATAATCACAATACTAACGTAGGTCTTAGCATACTTATGATAATCACAATACTTACCTAGGTCTTAGCATACCTATAACTGTAAGTCAGAACTCTTATCTATTACTTATTAACAAAATACCCATAGAAATAAATTACAATTCTAATATACCGTTATGACATTTAGTGTACCAATTTTACTGCACCAGATGCTCATTTCGACAATAAATGTCTCTTCAGTGATGTTCGAGACCAAAATATTGCCTATAGAAATGAATCACAATTCTAACTAAAATGTTAACATACCTATGCAGTAAATGAGCTTCTAAATCAGATCTGGGTAAAACTTCTTCACAGTAATCTACATTAGGACACACTACTAATAACTTATCTAATAATCTGAAAAAAAACATTCAAAATTAGGTCATAGTTGTCTATTTATCTAAAAAAAAATGTTGAATCAAAAGAAAAAGCAGTTTTACTAATACAGTCAATACTATAAAACTCAGTCAGTTTGTTACATATATAAATGTCTAAAAATAAGTATAATCTAGAATAGGATAATAAAACTAAGTCACAGTAATTCCAGTACTTGAGTGCATTTTTTTACTGAGATGAATATTACGTTGCTGGAATAAAATTTTATATGTCACTAGGAAACTTGGCCAAATACTAACTACTGACTTGGGTGAAAAGACATTATAATAAAGCCTTCTCATATTTAATAATGTAAAACAAGGAGATGTGTTGTGACTGCCAATGGGACAACAATCAACCAGAGATCAAAGGATGAAGACAACTATAGGGCACTGTACAGCCTTCAACAATGAGCAAAACCGACACTGCATGAACAGCAAGCTTTAAAAAACCCAGACATGAAAAATAAGAAAACAAATATGATAGTCAACAACCATTGACAACCAATGAATAACAGGCTTCTGACTGTGTTAACAGTAACAACAGACTTCAGGCCTATAGAGGCCTCAGTCCCAAAATTTATGTACATATATGGTATCATGAACTTTGTATTAACTGAAGTTAATAATTTTTTATAAAGTCCCTAAATCAGTTCATATATACAAGGAAAGCTTTTCTGAGTTCAGGAAAAGTCTGATTTTTACTGTAGTAGAAAATTTATGTAAACAAGTTTACCAAGAAGACAAAAACATTGATATTAATCTCTTACAGTCAATTTAACTCAGGAGTCAAGTTTCTGGATTTTATCACTTCCTTTTAACCATCAATAGAACCTTTATTCCAGCCGATTACAGAGGAATATACAATATTAGGATTTCCATTTATAAGACGACTGAATTACCCTTATAATTCTGCTTGGACAAATAACTTGATCCAATACTTGTTTATTTCATGTTATGGAATGGGAGTTATTTTCTGCTTGGGATCATATAGACTTCACATGACGCCTTCTTGGACATTTGGTTTCCATTTATCTACAGAAGGGACTTAAAAAATATGCATATTCTTCAGAACAAATGCCTGCTAGACTTAATCATCATTTGGTATATGTAATCATCCTCAATAGGTTCCAATGTTTAAAGATCTGATGGCAATCACATGATATGTCACATGAACTTTAATGTGACTTTCTGTCATTGTCTACATGATCAAAACAGTAAAAAAAGAGGCAGATGATGCCAAGGGGACAATCAAAAGTCAAAGCAAAACAAACAATACCATGGTGAAAAGGAAAAAAAAAACAGTCAACAAATCACTACCCAGAAAACAAAAGACTGAGTTACACAAACTCTGTCCATTACCAGTGTTGATCTCAGGTGATCTGGAAGGGTAACAACAGATCCTGCTCCACTTGTGACAACTGTTGTATTGCTCATGGCAAGACATTTTTTTATGATACTGCGGGTTCATTTATGTTGGTGGGTACCAAGGAAAACTTTGTGGGTATTTGATTTCATGGTTTTGCCAAAGTCTGCATACAAGCCTACAGAAAAGGAGTAGGCCCGGTAAGACCCCTTTTTGGCCCCAAAATATAGCAGTTTAACAAAATTATTAAAATGTAAATTTTTAGCTATTCATTGGAAAGAAGAATACTTCTGTTACATAAATATGGGCTGTTTTTGACAATACAATGCACATGTATCGGGTACTAGCATCATTAAGTCATGCTAAATTACTGAAATCTTCGAAATTTTAGCATTTTGGTTAATTTTTAGACGGTTTTCGTCTGAAATGGAAGTGGCCGCATTTGTGTTCATTCTTAATATTTAAATGTAAGTTGTATTTGATGATAATACATAACATATATAAAGGTTCAGAATGAACACGGATGCGGCCACTTTCATTTTTGACAAAAACCATCTGAAAAGTGACATATTATGGCGTATTTGATAGATTTTTCATATTAAAGCTTGAATTTGAGGGTCTTTAATGACTAAATCAGTTCAAATCTTTCAGACAAACTAATTGAATCGACTGAAGTAGACACTTAAGTGTTTAAAAAGTGTCCAAAATCTTTCATCAGATGAACCTGAATTTTGAGGCCAAAATCGGCCCTTACCGGACCTACTCCTTTTAAGTTTGGTGAACATTATAATTTGTGGTTCACCTGAACCAATGAAATCCACCAAAATTATTGGTATTCAACGAATAAAAATAATCCACAGTAAGTCATTACCACAGATATACCATAACGATCAACAAAATCATGATAGCGTTTGACTCCAATTTTGTAGGCAGCTGGATCAAAATATTATTTCCATTTATTAAGACTAAAATAGGGGTTGTTTCACATCAAAAGTCATGAATCATTTAACCTATAGATTAGAAGAGATAAGATTTATGTTATTGGATGTCATTCTCAACTGCTTACTTACCACCTTTCAGAAAACGAGCACAGATACAAATACTTTGTTTTAAGAAGAAACAATTTTACAAAATGTTGTTAAAATATATAAATACCAATATAAATCCCTCAAAAATTGCTTGCTCTGAAACCAACATCTTCTTGATGGTTTAACATTTATTCTTATTGACAACATATTTGTTGTTTGGAGGACATGTTTTTCTAAAAAATGTTGGCATCCCTATGGGAACCAACTGTGCTTTTCCTCTAGCTTACTTGTTTCTTCTTTCATGTGAGGCAAACTTCATACAAGGAGTTCTTTTAAGAAAGATAAAACTGGATTTTTTTTAAATTGGAATAAACAACAACATCATATAAGAATAAGGAAAGCCAAAACAAGTATAGTTTTTTGACTTTGCACCAACATTTTTGTGTTTTCAATGGGTTAATTATAACCGGAAGAAAAATATACCAATGATAAACTGAAAAAATATATTGTTGCCAAAAAGATTTCAATGTGTCTTAAAATAACTGTAAACAAATTTTCTCTAATAAGCAATGACAGTCTAATTGAGATAAAAATAAGTTGATAATTGTCAATATCAGAAATGTGTTTTGATAAACCAAGTTTGTACATGATAATATTAGCTGGTTTATTTTTGTAACTGAGAGAAACTTCATTCCATCAAAATATCAATTTGTATCAAGATTAAATTTGAGGTGGGTTGTATTTGTGGACAACTTAGCAGTAAACACTTAATCAGTACAACTAAATCAAACATAAACGATGCAATGTTTACATGAAATTGATTGGTAATTTGTACACCTTGGGCTATTACACTTGACATTTGGGATTCTACTGTTAATTGGTTGCAAATACACATTGACAGTGATGAAATAATTCTTTATCTGCTTCTTTATAGCCTGTTGAGAAACAAGTTGTACAAACAAGGACATATATCACAGAATTTATCTTCCTCATCTACGGACACATAGAATGAATGATTGACTTTTCTTTCATTCTTCCTTTTTTAAGAACTAGTAGTATAATAAATGCCTTAAACTTTTTGTTGTTTTTAGTTTTTTGCTATCGGTTTGTCAGTTTATCACTGACTATCCCTTTGATATCTTCCACCTCTCTTTTTTTATTAAACATTTCCATCTATTTAAAGATTTAGTATATGAATATGATAAATACTTGCAACATATGACACAAAAATAAAATTGATATTTCTATGAAAATAAATAACACCAAGACTTAGTTTAACTGTAAAATTTATCATACATGCTAATGCTTCAGTCTATGAGGTTACTGATGTTTATGCAAGGTACTTGTTACATAGCTTGGCATAGATTGGATGCAAGTGACAACCTAAGATTATGTATATATACAATCTTAGGTTGTCACTTGCATCCAATCTATGCCAAGCTTGGTACATTAGTTTCTGGAAGATGATTGGACCTATCAAATATCAAGGTCAAAGGTCAATGTCAATCTTATATAATAATGAACTAATGTGTTTAGAGCAAATAATATACTCATCCAGTCCTGTCTATGAATTATAAAAATTCAAAAACTTTACTCAAAATAAAGTATAAGAAAAAAACGATCAACTGTTGAGTGAGTGGTCATGCTCAAACAATGTCATATCACTTTACCAGAGTTGTGCAAAAATCTTTAAGTAGTATAGTGGTAAAATGCAATTAGAAGGAAAATGTTTAAAAAAGGATAATCAAAAGTTTTCCTATTGTTTTGGTTTTTGGCACTATCCATTTTTACACATTGACAATATTTAAAGAAATTCTAGTTACTGGTAGTGTCCCATCAATGAATTTACATCCAAAAATTATTTGAACTCTTAATTTGACAAATATCTTTATAAAATAAAACAAGTTGTATATACAATCACTGTTCATATCAAATTTTTTGAGCTTTCTTATGGACTCAGAACTGGAGATAATCTCCTTTCAAAACCTACCCTACATATTTATTTCATTCTTTTTGTGAAATGGTAGTCTAAATATCCTTTTTTTCATCGTGGTCAACCCATTTTGCAGATCTCTTAACTGGTTCATTGTATAATTTTTTCTTGTTTAATATGCATGAATTAAAATACTTGCCACTGGACCTTAAGCAAACCATGCACTGCATACAGTGCAAACATCTGTATCCCCCAATCAATTTTTTCAAATCTATGTCTTTAAGTTACTTGAAGTATAATTTGGCTACATGTATATACTTTTAACAAATTTGTCATGCAACAAAAATAAAAAATGGAGAATGTGTCCATGGGACACAGATGATGCTCCCGCTTGCATATAACCTTATAAAGGGACATAACGCAAGAACGGTTAAAGTGACGCCACCCAAATTTAAACTTTATGTGTGTTTTGTGGTAATAAGCATTGTGTATAAGTTTCATAACATTTGGTTGAGGCAAACTTAAGTTATAGAGAACAGAAAAGAATAAACTGCTTCGCTGAGCGCAGCTGGATACACCCTCAGAGGTCCAACCCTGAACAGTTGGGGCAAAAATGGACACAATATTCAAGCTTCAGATACAGGTCTGAATTTGGATTGTATTAAATATTTGACAAATTATAGGTTTCTGAATAAATGTAGTCAAAGAACTTGAAATTGGTTATATGAATTGAATTTATATTCAATTAAAGATTTCTTGCTGTTGTGCAATATACTGCGCTGTTGCGCAATACTTAGTAAATCTGTTGTCAGACTATGAACAATTAAATAACTTCTCAAAGTCATATCAGAAATTTATGAAAAACTAAAGGGAGCTTATCTTTATAGATATAAACCAGGCACCAAAGTTTAATGAAAACTGCTCAAAGCACTTTAAAGGTATTGTCCGAAAACTGGAAAATCCCCCTTTTTTTTAATGAATAAAACCCCATAACTCGGAAACGTAAAATCTAAAATTTCTAAAAATCAAAAGGGAGCTTACATCAGTAGATATCAAAAATTCACCAAAGTTTCATGAGAACTGCTGAAAGTATTTTTGAGTTATTGCCCGAAAACTGGAAAATCCCCCTTTTTTTAATGAATAAAACCCCATAACTCAGAAACGCAAAATCTAAAATTTATGAAAAACGAAAGGGAGCTCACGTCAATAGACATATACAATTCACCAAAGTTTAATGCAAATTGGGTAATGGTAATAGAGAATGGAAACCAATTTCGGTACATACGTACGGACGAATGTACAGATGGACAAGGGTAACACTTTAAACCCCCTCCACTGCGGCAGGGGCATAAAAAGATTAACTCTTAATTGTAAAATACTGCATTTATCTTAAATGGGGACTATATATAATACATTATTATTATCTGTTGGTCCCAGGCTAAATAAATGTGTAATTGGAAATTTGATTAAATCCCCTTGACCTTCCATATCTGATTTTAGTATCATCCTTATACAGATGTTTCATATGACATTGCCTGCTGGGACTAATTCAGCTTATTTATACACATATCTTCCAAATAATACCAGTTTTATACTTGATGAACTGAATATTAGAGACGTTTGAGCAATATTACCTTACTTCTACAAATAATGTCATAAATATATTATTTATCATTAAATGACAACAAAATATAATATTTTGCAACAGATGTTCTTGTGATAAATTTTGTACCTGGAGATAGCATGACTTTAGATATATATCAAGCAATTTTCAGCTGAAATATTTATAAAAGCTCAATAGAAAATATGAAAATAACACATTATATATTTGTTGTGTCCAAAGCACTTTTCTGGATTTAACTTCAACAGAAATGTCCACACCAAAAAAATTGGAAGCCAATGATGTATTAAACTACCTACAGGGATGGGGTAATCGTAATCTGTAATTGTTTGTTATCTTTTCAAGTAATCAACAGTTACTACATCTATCTAAACACATAGAAGAGCTATATGATCAAAAGGGGCCTAAAAGAGTAACCAAATCCATCTAAAGTCAACATAGTATGATTTCGTTAAGTAGAATATTTTCTCAAAGCAATTGTCAATCAAAGGATACATGAACTCCAACTTGATTATTATAAGGTATTCATGTCAAAGAATTTAATCAGGAAGCTTAAATTCCTCATAGCCTGATTTCAAAGTTATCCTTGACATTAGATCAAATTTTCAGACAGGTAATTAATGATTAGTATTTCTAAATATCCTTTTTGAACCCCTTTGTAATAATTAGTACATACTCCCCCAGAATAATTTACAAGTTAAAAGGTTGTAATGTAAAAGTTAATAATAATTACCTGTAAGGTGAGAGTACCAAACTATGATCTATAGATGTCCGACATTCCATGTCAAATAGCATTTTAAGATGTCACAAACTTGTATACAGGAAAAAATTGACTAATTCCTGAAATGTTTATCCATTTTTTTCAAATCCATAGTCATTTTTTTTTAAATTGTCTAATCATATGTTACGCAGTAAAATTTAAAATGTCTAACTTGTCAGATATGAATACAATATGTTATGGTTTTTTTTTTATCACTTAAAGATAATCAGTATGAAATTTCTATCCTGAAATGCTGTACAACTACCGTCATGGCATCTATTAAATAATTGTTCTCCAGTTTCTTTAACCTCTTATAACTATAGCTCTTCAACATATTCTAATGAGGATCTAACACTGGTGTAGTTCGGCTGCTCTTCAAATAAGTTATATTCACTAATTATCAACCGATGCAAAAAATATCCATAATTGGGGAATAAATAGTATAATTTTGCATTGATTTATTAATATTTCAAGGCAATATTAAAACTGACAAAGTTTAGTTCACATTTCCATACTGTGATGTCCATTTCAGTAATTTGACACATATTAACCTCCAGGCATTATGACAGGTCCTTGAAACTTGTTCCGAACTTTATTTTGTTTTAAACTCCATCAAGCAAAAAGTCAACACCAAAGGTGGTACACAAATTGTCTTTTTTTCACCTTATGCATCAAAAAAATTCTCTGACATATGAAGATAAATTTAATTTCTTGGTTTTACTGGTTAACTTGTCACATCTAAAGACAGAGTTGACAAATTAACGCTAGTTTTAATACCATATTTACATGCTCATAGGGTTTTCATGAGAACCATTCCCTGTTGTATGAATGAATAAATTCTTTTATTTTACAATTATCATATACTTGCAATCCATTTAGTCTAAAAAAATATTTTTCTTCTACTCTTAACAAATTTAAAATTAAACCCAGCTTCTATTCTTTTCAATTTTTCAAATACTATATTCTGATAGTAAGCTTCAGTAAAGTTATCTCAGCCCTGCAGTAAAATTAATTTCAGAATCAGAATTTCTCCTATCAGACTCTAGAAGACAATATTAGTTGTGACAAGACTTCAGAACTTTGATCATCTTCTTATTGTCTATAAGTAAGCATCATGCAAGAAATCTGTGAAACTGTAATGAAAGTATCTTGCACAAAAAACCAACTGCTGATATTCCAGAATAACTGTTAACTTTCCAGATAATGTAAAACTGAAATTCTACTACAGGTTACCTAATTATCAAGGCTTTTCGACTTAAATTTCCAATAGTGTACAAAACTCTTTAATAGAGTTAATTAAACCAATTAAATTTGAAATTCTGAAAATGAGCATCTATATTTTACTTTGATGATAATGATAATTCCAATATTCCCTGCTTAAGTCCACTAAAACATCTGCATGTGGTTCTACGTTATTCACTTATTAAGGCTACAATTATACAAATACTGAAGTTCTCCATCCTCCTGCTATCTACAATGATTAAGGCAATTTCCCAATTTGATTTGAATAAGTTGGCTTTTTATGGTGTTGTCACAAAACACTAAATGTCCAATCTCTGGAATTCTGACATGATAAAATGAAAATCTTGTCCATCAATAATCAGATCTTCAACTGGTCAAGGTTAAAAGTAATGAAATGAAATGTACATGAAAAAATTAGCATCTCCACTAATATTGAATTCTATCAGCTTGTCAGTATTAGCTCATAGTATAATCAGTAACTAAACTTTTGATCAAGATTGATTGTAAAGTTTCATATAGAAAATATCTTATGCAATTTGACTTGTATTGTGCAATAAACACATAAGAAGTATAGGATATCTATTTAATGTCCAGTTAGATTAAACAGGACAGTCAAAAGCAAAAAAATTATAGGATTAAAGATCGGTATACAAATAAATTTTACTTGTAAATACACTTTATATTTACATATATTCTGACTTCTGAAAATGTTTGTCAGAAAAGTGAGGATAAAACTAACATGTTTTAATTGTCCCCTTTTAACTTTCAGTAAAATGGAACATGTTGTTGTGTTTTCAGTAATGCTAAATGGGGTATAAAAATTCAATAACCCTTATTTTATAGACACAAATATTTTACAAAGAAGGTGCTATGTTTGCATAGAATTTGACATTTTAGCATGTTCACACTGACCTTACTCGTCCCTTGCTATGTTTGTTGATTAAACTGTTTTGCCTGGAGCATGTTTTGAAAGAATTATTGATAGAATTATCTCATAAAATATCTTTCCTAAAGAACTTGACCTGAACTTTAGAAATCCAAAATGATCACTGATTTTTGAAGCCAAATGAAAATTATTCAAAGTAATAACACTTCTCAGGTCTAATATATAGTTAAGAGATTTTTGTTACTGACTTGCTTTCGCCATGGGTCAGTTCCAACTTGCCCTAAAAAGGGTCGCCAGAAGTCAGAGCAATCTTGTACTACTCAGGTTTGTGGAACTTCATTAATTAAAATCTTTTTTTTTTACATTTAATGCACAGAACTACAGACAAAAATCAATGTGAGATACTATACAGACATCCTAGTTGTATATTTAACTCATTATTCCTTTACACACAGTTTTTTAATGAAATTGAACTGAACTGAAATAGAATTAAATGGCTACTGGAATTGTACATCTTTATTTCTGGGATTAATAACCTGAGTCTTGTATCTCAATGTCAAACCAAAAAAAACTTAATTATCTTAAATTCAAAAGGTTTTAAAGAAATTAAATTAAAACAGATACCTAGAGAAATTTAATCAAGCTGTCATAGACAAAAAGTTTTCAAATGTCTTACAAGTTAATCAAATAAATATGAATTAAATAACCAACAAGAAATAAGCTGTTTAATTCACGAGAAGACCAAGTTTTCTGTATTTTGAAGGTCACCATTGTTGAACATAAGATGGATGCTAGTACAAATGAAATGATGTATGGTGCTTTAAGCTTGTTTGACTTGCCTTTTTGTTTGCCTAAATTACAATCTATCAGGGATCACAATAATTGTCCTGAATGGTAAAAGCAAAAATAGTCAATAATCAAACTTAATCTCCATTTTGTCATCAATAACAACATACTCAAATTAGAAAAGCATTAGCATGAACATTTCATAAGTTAATTTGCACGGAAGCAACATGAAGTGCCATTTTCCAATCTATCAACGACTATAACTCCTGAACAGCAAAAGTGAAAATTGTCAATGTCAAACTTGACCTCCATTTTGTCATCAGTTAACATATCAAAATTTGAAAAAGCATTAGTAGAACGGTTCATAATATATTGCATGGAAACAACATTAAGTGCCATTTTCTGATATATTAAGGACCATACACCCTGAACTGTACAAGTGAAAATCTTCAATATCAATCTTGACCTCGTAACAACATATCAAAATTTGAAAAGCACTGGTTGAACAGTTCATATGTTATTGCATGGAAACTGTCGTCAGCTGACTGCCAACCCATCGTACTTTACCATTTTAAAAACGTTTTTTTCTCCTTCTGAAAACCTTTCATAACTGATGGTGACCCCAACTGAACTACATAAATCATAAAGCATAACCAAGTTTCATCAATAAAGCTGCCTATAATGTCTCTCTTAGACATGTACATCATTTATACTATAAAGGAAATATGACTATAATAAAAACAAAACCACCACCCACACCAGGATGGAACAGACTGATAACCATTAGATCATAGAAACCAACAAAGGCCAAAATACAAATTTTCCTAGATATTTATCTATATCACTTAAGAGAACTGGATAAGCAATGGACATACTATGTTCAGTCTGTGAGTGGAAGGCCAAGATTACATGCCAACAAACTCCATAAAAGTAACATAATATAATCATAATTCCCCAAAAATGCACTAAAAATTATATCCAAACAAAAAATGTTATCAACATTTACATATTTAAACTGTTTCATCTTTGTAGGAATTAATATTTTTAAATGATTATTTTTTTCATTTCAGGTATATTAAAGTCCAACATCAATTTCAATGTTTTCTGATAGTGGTCTTTGAAATTTAATCACACACTCACATCAAAAGCTGATGAATATGAGAAAAAAAACATGATTCTTACATTTACAACAACAATATCCCTTCATAAAATCAAAACTTTGCTGATGATCCATATTCTCTTTGAATTTTAAATTGATCATTTTAAAATCATTACAATATTTTACCTGGGTATTATGTTGGTCTGCAGGGACTGTTCAGTAAGCTAATTAAGTAGAAAATTTAATGCTCATATTTTAGCTTACAGGAAATTAACATCATTAATATAGAAACTTCTGGGAAATGGGATTTATATTATTAATATGCCAATCAATTTATAATTTCAGTAATGGTTGGTTATTAAAAAACGTTTTCACATTATGTTTGATTAAAAATATAACCTACATAAATTAAACACTTTTATTCATTGTGACCAACAATGCTAATTATGCTTATATTTTCATGTTACATGTATACTTCAGCTACAACACTTCCTGTTGTCTAATGTCTACCAAATATAGCAACAAAGTGATTTTTCGTGCAATGTCGATTTCACGTTACCTCACTTTTCTTCACTTTTCATAACTATAATTGAAGCAGTTTTCAGCTGCAGTATACAAACAATATTAGGTTAATGTCAGAAAAATATCAACTTTTTTGTATTCGACATGAAACAGGCGAAGGGCTCAGTAAACATCTCCCAGTTTCTAAGCCACATACAAAACAGTTGATATTTTTCTGGCATTAACCTAATATTTTATATTTATGCAGGCCTATACACAGGGTGCAGTGTTGCCAGGTGTTTGAAAACAATCAAGCACTATTAAAGTCAGATTTACCCTCACTGGACCTGGTTGACACTCCAAAAAACTCTCACAGACCACTTATGTAACAATATATTGATTCTTGAGGCTGATTTATTGCTGTATTTCCAAAAAGCATTAGAGTACAGCTCCTTTTTAGGAATTGTCCAAAATTAAGCATTGAATGACCTCTGACAAATACTTGGCAAAACCATGTAAAAAATTAATTAAAATTATCCTGAAGCAAATCAACAATTCTAAACTTTACTTTCATGAGAAGTTTACTGGTCAATTAGCTATATGGATACTATTAAAACATGGCATCTTGCTTTTAAAACAATGACTTGTAAAATATTTATCCAAATTGCCTTCAGCATAAACAAATCTATAACAATGTATACTGAGTATGCAATTACTATTGTCTGATACTTTTTTGTTCATTGATTTTAATATATCGTCATGCTATGATACATTGACAATTTTCATTTAAGATAGAATATTGCTATTAATGTTATCAAAATGGTATTTTACTGCATATATGTCTTTGATACATTTACAATTTTCATTTAAGATAGAATATTACTATTAATGTTATCAAAATGGCATTTTACTGTAAATACCGCTTTGATAAAACATACTTGTATGAATTGACATGGAAATTTTATTTCACTGTTTCTGGTTTTATTGAATTTACTAAATAATTGGAGTAATATATTGGCTTCTTCATAAGATTTATTTATTTTTCAACTTTTTAGAATGTTGTTCAATATCATTTATAGCAGATGAAGATAAAAGATAATGTATCATACAAAAGTGGGCAGCATTCTGCTGTTTATGCCAGAAGTTTTATAGATATTTATGTTTAATGACTGTAAAATATGTAATAGATTAAATTAAGGTTCCTTGCAGTGTTCATAAGATTAATAAAAAATTCTAAATCTCGTAATTGGTTTTAAAACTGAATTAGAAATTATGCATGAAAGATTTCATTAAAAAAAAATTCTGGAAGAAATTCCTAGCATATTTTTAAACTATCTGAAAGTAACTTAAAGCAGTATTTGTATGTTAATTAAGTCAGGTTTTAGTAATAAGGAAATGTACAACTTACTAACACTATTTATCTTAGGCCTTGTTCTTGCTTTAAAAAAATGAAAACAACACATTATAAATTTAAAT